AACACATAAAACAACACAACACATATAACTCTCGAGTTATTTTAAAGATAAAATATTTCTTGAAATATTTTCAAAGAATTGAATATAGAAATTGTTAGTCTATGTCTACAGCGAATCAACGCATCTCCTATTAGACTTTTAATAATTATAGTCGTGTTCTTTGTTTTGTGAATGTGTTCATTTTATTGTGTTTAAATTTGGTAACTATTGGTTCCGAGTTATTTGAAATTCTTTTCGTTTATTATTATGTCGGTCTGTTAGCCTCACAATAAATGTAATATTTAAAATCATAATTTGTCTTTAATAAGTTATTGCTGGTTATTGGTTTTGACAAATTACGGATAGTTTTTTTTACCACAGAGTAAATATGCACCGAAATTGCGAGCATAGATTACATAGTGTTCTTATTGGCTTTATAAAAGTGACCTTTGCCTTCCAAACAGTTCTTAAAGTAGTATATGAAAACCTCTTTGGAGTGTATAAAAAAGTTTTCCAAATGAACATACAATCTCGCTACCCTATACATCGTTGCGATCAGGTCTCTTCAATCTACATACAAATAGCCGTCGGCATCTGCGTCGGCGATCTTCCGTAACTTATTCTATGACATGAAGAAATCGCTTCGACTCACTTCATATATACCATCTCGCTCTAACACGTGTCCTCTCGCTCACACCCCAATCTACATTATGACGATAAAGTGACATTGAGCGTAAGATTGGGTTGAAGAAATGACAAAGATTGTATTACAGTTAGAAAGTTACAAAGCTAAGGAAAATGATCTCTATTCCTTTTGGAATAAGGTGTATTTATTTTATATTGGTTTAGTTGTATGTTTGTGTAGAAATAAGGAAGCGTTTCCCGTAGAGAGTAAGTCGGTATGTTTAGGGGCTGGCAGGAGCCGTCAAAGCGCATCATTTCGCGGAATAAGTTAGACGCCTAGCTATGATAACGCGAGATAAGTTCAAGTTACGACCCGACTTAAGTAATGATGTTCCTTCAAAGTTTATTCATCGAATTTTGGCGAGCTTTTATTTTAATTTGACGTTTTTTTTACATTAAATTCACTGACAATTCTGTGATTTAGCATTTTACAATCTGATAAACACCTTTTTCCTAATCTTTATCTCACAAATCTTCTATAAAAAAAACTGAAATTAGTGAAAAGTGTAATCACGGCCGTTTATTCAATTCCACTTTAGTCTATTTATTTCAACATATAATTGAAATAAAATAAATAAAATAATTCTCTTAATATTGTAGCTATACTACCCGTTGGTTTATAAGACGAAAATTTATGTATTAAACATATCGTCATTCCTATCATTATCTTTGCCAAAACACAGATAATAAGATGTTTTGAACGGGGATTTTGGTTTCAGAAACCCATTGTTATTCATATGTCTGATACTTAATACATCTCTAATAAATCCATAGAGAATAAATGACAATATCAAAGATCAAAATATACGTAATTTCGCTTCTATATTTTTCATAAGCTTGTAATATAAGAGTTAAACACAACTAGTCTCAGTTAATTTTAACTATAACAAACCATTGTAACTAACAATCGTTTTACAATAACATAACAAAAACGTCAACACAATACCTAAGTCAGAAATGTCAGAACAAAATTAATTATCTAATAACGTTCTATCCTTTGTTCTCGAAGCGTCTTAGAGTATTATCAAAAAGTGAAGAAAAACTTACAACAGTTCATCGCAAATTAAACTGTAACTCTAAGGGAATAGATCACAGTATCGTGTGAATGTAGTCGCTTAAGCCAATTAATAAAATAGTACATGTATCGTTTGTAGGCGATAAGTACAAACTTTTTCGCTGGAGCTTGGATCAATAACAGAACATCAAACGTAGCACAACAAACCATATGGTTATGAAAATAAGGTTCATATTACAGTGTAGTAGTCTGTATGCTTTCATTCGCTTGTTACTAAGCCAGTTCGCGGATCGGGGGAGGGATCGCCAACCTTTTTCTGGGGCGTCCCTGTTAGGACTTTTACCTTTATTTTATTCTTGAGCTACTGTTTCTAGGTGACATTTGATATAAAAAATCTTGTGTCATTTGATTAAAATGTTTATTTTATAAAGTACTGTTTACCTAATAATAGTAACTTGGAAATTAATATTTTTTAGAAATCAATAAATCGGTCTCTTCACATACTTACCACTTAATAAATTAAGGATTTTTATTTCTAAACATACATTAATAGTATTTAAGCTATTTTAAATAAATTCAGTTACAAACACCTCCATTCAAGACCTACTTTATTATAAATAATATAATAATAAGAACTATAATAAAATGACAAGGCATTACAATATTTTTTACGACTACTCAATTTTTTTCGTTGTGATTGCAAAATAATTTCGCGAGGAAATAATACTGACGTACGTTACAAGGGCGTGGCACCTAGTAACAAACGAAGAGTTAAAACACTAAACAGTTATATTAGACATTAAAAAAACTAACGCAAAAGGTTGGCAACACGAGACCGACGCCATAAATGCACTCTCTAGCGCAACGGGGCTATTATATCAAACAAAACCAAAATGTTGTAAACGTAACTAGAAGCAATTTTTTAAAATAGACTTTATTCCATACGCCATAAGGGCGACGGATGGACGATTCTCTTTGTGAAGGTCGATGTCGGTTACGACATTTTTGTACTGAGGCAGGTCTTAACCACGCATGCGCTAGTGTGAGTGTATCCTCGTGTCCGTGTAGCACCACTGCGCCTGTGTGCGCGCGACATCGCTTCGGTCACGTAGGCTCGGCTAAGTTGGATTCACTAGAGTTTTGAGGACAAAACATTGGTTGAACGAAAATCCTTTGTTACATTTTGCTATTATTTCGTTTTAAGCTTGTATTTAGGAAGATCATCTTACTTCTTACTTATAATGATAATTTTAAATATTGGTTTTAATCGACTAAAACATTAAAATAAGTAATTCCTTTCAAAAATTGACTTATACTAATTAATATAATTTTAATTGTTCAACAAGTCTTATATATACTTATATTGATATTGAAACCTGTTAATCAGTTAATAGCGATTACTTTCTTCTGTGTACTGATGTCCGTTCCAATCGATAGCAAGTGCACATAGCAACAGTTCGCGTCAGCTGTGCCGGGCGGGGGGTCGCCGGGCGGGGCGGGTGGCGGGGAAGTGTGCGGGGGGGGGGGGGGGGGCGCGGCAGAGCGCACAATTGATTCCCCGATACCTCGCGAAAGTTGCCTTTGCCGGAAGCGGGTAACCATCCGAAAATTCACCTATACATAGTAGCCATAGTAATAATATGATGAGAAAAAAAAATATACATCCTCTAGAAAGAACAATACTAAATTTGGATAACATATTATAGGACGGACCTTTCTAGAAAATTCATTTATCTTTGTCTCATCGTATTCAGACGTAGGTTAATTTAGTTAACGTAGTTAAATGTTAACGTAGGTATACGAGATGGAGAAGACTTAAAATAATTTTATTCTGTGATATTTAACTTAAATATCCATGGATCAATAAAAATCTAAAAGTCTTTAAAAACAAATGGAATAAAGTCTACGCGACTGCATCTGATAAAATACAGGGAAATCCTAAATGATTCATATAAACACGTACGTTTTATAAAATAATGAAATCTTGATACGTTGATACAAAGAAAAAAAAATACTTGACACAGCGACTAACTCATTACTTTCAACACGTAGATGTGCTTCTAAGAGCTCTGCCAAATATGGATGCCGAGTAACATTTACACTTGTTAAAAAAAGGCAATTCGCCTTGTGCTAGGACATTTACGACAATAGTTGGATGGTGGGATTCGAACCCCAGACCTCATGATTGGAAACCCTTAACCATTTTGGCTTTTGGCGCTTTTTTCAAAGTTTCACGAAAAAATTGCCAAATATTGATGTTTGTTGAGTAAAGAATTAACATTTTGTCAAAGACGTGGCATAACGGCCAGAACCTTTGCCTTTTTTATTAAAAAGATAGATGAGTAAAGAATTGCGCGGGAAGTGTAAACAACGAAATAATGAGAATTATTATGTTAATCTTAATAATATTATAAATGCGAATGTTTACATGGATGGATGTTTGAAGATATCTTCAGAACGGCTAGATGGATCTCGCTGATATAGATAGATATAGAACATAGTCTAAAAGAATTAAGTTTTGTTTTAAATTGCGGACTGAGTCGATGGCGATCGATGGTATGTATATAAATTTAGTATTAGGATTATAACAATTTAATAAACGTATGTTTGCCGTGCTGTTTTCAATCTATTTCGCGCTATTTTATATATTTTGGCGTTTGATTAAAATGGAACATTAAAATCAATAAGTCCAACACATTGGTTGCGATGATGTGATGTATTTCGTATTTTACCTAACAATACAGCTATAGGGCTATAGGTTTTACCTTGCTGTTCTCCTTTGTTATTACTAACAAAGGAAATTAATCTTTATGTACAAACAATAGAGTTTATATTAGAGTGAATTTGTAGTACTTAATAGCGATTAGACATGAGAAAGGGATAGTTGTGTAGGGGAAAATTATAAAGGCATCTTTTTATGGTAAATTAGACAAATTGGTGCTTAAATAATGGACATTGGGATTTAGAATTTACAATTATTTGAATATTAAGCTTCTGTATTAAACAAGGTTTATTATAATTAGTTTAATTTGTTACTTAAGTAACATAGATTCGAACACGTTCAGTGCCGACTTGCTCGAAGAGTTGCACATCTAAGTGGCATTCAACGTGTTGATTACTTTAAGCTTACGATTCTTTTTAACTTCAGGAGATATGATGATCTGCTTTCGCCGAAGATGTATAGTCTGTGCCTTATTTACAAAATGGAGTAGTGAATGATGAAGTTCTATTAAAAATATAAGAAAGGATATTTGAATAAAAGGAAACGCCATCACTTTTAAGGTAAAAATATATTTTTACTTTTTAAAAAGAAGTTTTTATGTCACGTCCAACGGAAACAGCAAATAAGCTCTATGTTGGCCTTCTGGCTGTATCTTCCACACCAATTTTCAGCTAAATCGGTTCAGCCGTTCTTAATTTAAAAATAATAAACTAAACTACGTTCTTTTTATACATTCAGATTTTTTATTCATTAAAAACAACACTATTTACCGTTAATTTCTGAGGCTAATGTATAAAAATATCGTTATCCCTGTCATCTTTGACAAAACAGAGATAAAAATATTCTAAATGGGGATATTGGTCTCAGAAAACCACGGTTAGGAAAGCATTTTATGTAGAAGTTTGCATATCAGGTGTATGCTTTTGTTCCACATCTACAAAGTACGTTTGTAGGTCTGTCAGTTCCACATTTTCTATTAACGATGCATCGTTATTAGAAATATTTAAAGTAGAATTTTTACGATCACTACTCAATTCTTGGAGTTGATGTCGTGTTATAATCTTTGTTATTTCAAATTTAATAAGTGCTTGGTTACGCATAGACAGTCTCTTAACTGTGTTGGCATAACCCAGAAACTCCATATCTATTCTGTCACACGGCACTTCTACAGTTGTCTCTGGTGCGTTTCTTTCAGCGTTTATTTCAGTGTTTATATTTGTCATAATATTGTCTATAGTATCCCCGCTTTCGTGTCTTCGCCTTTTTACTGTACGTTTTTTAATCTTTGCCATTTCTGGTTCAGGACTTTGGACATTTTGAGTCTCGTCCTGTTCATTTTCATTATCTGTGTTATCATTAATTTCCGAATCTGTAGAATCAACGGAAAGATTCGATGAAGTGTCAATTGGTCTCAATTTTATATAAGGTTCTATGAATGACATTTCGTTTCCCCACACCCAATTAGTTAGGTTACCTGTACCTTTATTACCAGTCTGACGACAAAGTATATGTTTTCTATATGTATCTCGTAGATTTTTCCATTTTATCTTCAACGTGCGTACTGAAACAAGCAACAGTGATTACTGGGGCTTAAATATGACAAAAAGATTTATTCTTTGCAAAGATATCGTTTGAAACATACCAAAAATATTTTAATATTAATTTTGACAGATAATACAATTAAAATATGTTAACTATAAAAAATCTGTCTCCATATTTTATTATAATCAAGGTCATCATAACTCGTTGATTCACGTAAGTGAGAATTCTACGTCTATTACTATATATAATTTAACATATTAAAATTATAAAAACATAACCTAAAAATATACTACAATTAACGAGAATCTTATACAATTCCAAATCAATAAAATAGCCCAGGCAGTCTACTGGCACACACACGCGTACGCAACATACCCACACAGAAACACATACGCGCCATTCAAAACAATCCAGTCATTCCTATAGCGTTCGTTCCGATAGTTGTGAATAGGCCTCAGCCCGATAAAACATAAAATATTAAAGAAACTGTTACTTACCATCCATTCCCATCTTTTCTTTTATTTTTTTCCAAGCCATTTCTTTTTTGTATGCATTTTTATAATCTGAATGTCCAACTGCGTAGATTTCCGGATAATTTCGTATAACATCTATAAGCGCTTTTATTGTCTCTGGTTTTAAGACGCGAAATTTATCCATGATGGCGGAACACGCGGTGACGGCTTGCGACGCGAAACGCTACTAACGGAACGGAATGGCCGCGGTGTTGCGCCGCGATCACAAATACGCGAAACGGAGCGAAACGAATTCGAAATTGGAATCCCACTTTACAACGCTTTGTTTTGACAGTTGTTGACTAGAGTTAGCGATCACAAAGCGAATGAGTAGTGAAAACGGATTCGCTTTGACATGTTCGATGCTGCTGTGATCGTACCTTTATCCTAATTCCTTTATCTATGACCATAGTTTATTGTAATTAACTAAAAAATATAGAATAAATAAAAATAAATAAGGAACTCGGGGTTGTAATTTAACATAAGGAATATGTGAAAAAAGAGTACGGACCAAGAGTGTAGATGTCGTTAAATTGTGGAAAAAAAATAGGTAATAAAATGAATTGTTTTTTTTCGTCAAACCGTTGATACACTATGCGATTGCAAAGGGATTTAAATTTTGAATTCTATTCACATTTGCTTGAAGTCCGTATCGATTTATTAACTCTAATACACCCCTAATATTTAAATATTAAAGTAACAAACTACAAAACATTAAAATAAATTTAAATCTTGCATAGTTTCCAATGACCAATTTTAATATATTTTCAAAAACTTTGGAAGTAATTAATTTTAAGATAGAAAACAGCGCCATCTAGATTAAGTAAAGAGAGTTTTGTAATTATGTCTCGTACCATACTGAACATATGGCTATTCGTCTTGTTTGTTAAATGGTACTCATTTTATATCTCATACAAATACCAATTTTATTATTAAGCATTTATTCTGACAATATTCGTTTATTGAAATTTAATTTACAAACTTAATTGTTTGGCTAAAGTCAAATCATGCCTTACACAGTTAACAGCACTTGACTTATCCCAGTAACAAGGCAGAGGGCATCCACAGTGCGCCGCCTTACGATGTATTCTAGGCTCTGCGTTTAGTCTTGAGCTATTTGAGGCCGAGCGTTCAGGTCAGTAATAAGAAAGGATATTTAAATGAAAAGAAACACTAGTAGTTTTAAGATAAGAATATATATTCATTAAATGTTTATTTCTTAAGGTTAACACGGAGTCGGCAACACCTCGCCTACTTGGCATATCTCGCCACAGTGGAGTAATGATAACCATTTGGCCCTTAGTTCACAAAGCACCGTAAATCTGTGAAAACTGACGATTTAAGTTGCTAAGCTATGCGCAATACAATATCAGAGAGGGTTGTATGCGGCACGCGTTGCCGACATTTTGTCTTTCGTCGCTAAAGCAAGTCGCTTGCTACCTTTCAAGGTAATCTTGAGTCGCCGCAATTTTCAAGATAGCGGAGCAAATACAGTTGACATTTTATAAATTCGTGTCAGTCTGTACTGAGCGATTAGACGACTCATGTCGACGATTCAACGTTGTGTGACGCAAATATATATTAGTTTCAAAGATTTACGTTTCCTTGTGTACCCTACTTTGTTTGAGAAGAAGTTTTTATATAAAATATATACTTTGGTTTACACGTATAAAGTTCTAGATCTATTAATTTTATGATTGTCATATTCTAACAGTATTCATTACATGAATTACTTAACGTAGAATTTTTACGATCACTACTCAATTCTTGGAGTTGATGTCGTGTTATAATCTTTGATATTTGAAATTTAATAAGTGCTTGGTTACGCAGAGACAATCTCTTAACTGTGTTGGCATAACCCAGAAACTCCATATCTATTCTATCACACGGCACTTCTACAGTTGTCTCTGGTGCGTTTCTTTCTACGTTTATTTCTGTGTTTATATTTGTCATGATATTGTCTATGGTATCCCCTTCGCTTTCGTGTCTTCTCTTTTTTAATGGACGTTTTTTAATCTCTTCCATTTCTGGTTCAGGACTTTGGACATTTTCAGTCTCGTTCTGTTCATTTTCTTCGTCTGATATAACATTTACATCAGAATCTGTACAATCAGCAGAAGTATTTGCTGCAACTTTTCTTGATCTGAACTTAATATAAGGCTCAACAAATGCCATTTCATTCGCCCACACCCAGTTGTACAGAGTATTAGGTCCTTTAATGCCGGATCGACGACAATTTTTGTGTTTTATATATGTATCTCTTAGATTTCTCCATTTTACCTTTAATCTTTTAACTGTAACAAATATCAATTTGCTCAGAACATTTTAAATAATCAAACTCTAAGTTTTATTCCATACTAAGGTCTTTAATTCGAGTTACAAAAATACAACTCCATTAGCACACATCCCAATTAAAACGATATTCTCTTTAAGGTTAACGCGAATTCGGCAACGTCCTCCCGACAGCGCTACGCCTGCGTACTTACTAATTGACATAGTTTGATCACCTATATATACAAACTATAGGTATATAATTATCCCGTTCAATCGGCGACGTCATGGCGCCGCCGGTGAGCTTCGGGGCGGAGGATGCTGAGGGGACAAGTGACGAAAGCGCGTTAACATTGATTTTAAATAAATACAGACAGGTTGATTTTTAATAATAAGAAATAGTAACAAAATCATAAAAATTATAAACTGCAATACGACTAAAATTACTTACTGTCCATCCCCATTTCTTCTTTAATTTTCTTCCAAGCAATTTCTTTTTTATACATATTCTTATAATCTGATTGTCCGACTGCATATATTTCTGGAAAACTTCGTATTATATTAATGAACTTTTTAATTGTCTCGAGTTCCATGATATGATAATCGATTGCGTCGGAACACGCGGTGACGGCTTGCGATGCGAAACAATACTAACGGAACGGAATCGAAATGGCGGCGATGTAACGCCGCGTTCACAATGACATACGAAAGCGGAGCGAATTTGAAACACGAGTCTAAGACCATTCGTACACAAACATAAATCGGAACGACTTTTTTCACAATCTTGACAAACAAGTTGTGAGCTACTGGTTTCGATGACTGAGTTACAAAATGTTGGCGATATGCTATGCATGAACCTCTATTACATTGAATCAAGTAACTCGCTTAGACTAAAATCGCTGGGTTTGGATTTACGTGTCCCAATATGTGTTTATTGATCCGTCGCGCATGTGCATACTCCTTTGCTTATTCCAATTACGTTATGTCGTTAGAGAGATATTGGAGAGAATCTGGGGATCTATCGCGAATATTTGCGATATACGTTTTCGTAACATCATAGACAAAATGTGTCACAGTTCAAAAGTGAAAAAGACCTCTGTAGGTTAAATATTTTTAAAAAACTTTTTAACAAACCAAATAAATACTTTAAATTGTCATTAATAAAACAAAAATGAAACAATAAACAAATAAAACTCGAGATTCGAGTTCCATATAATACAAATAAATAAAGAACTTTCATCTCCTTGTAGAAATAAATATCTGTCTTTGCGTTCCATTAGCTTTCGCTATAAATAGTTAATAAATAAGACATTAAAGTAAGAAAACCTAAAAATTAGTAACAGCCGTTTTCAAAATTATGATACAAAAAATTTTATTTCAAGAATACCACATTTTTACATTAAACGCACACACTCACAGTCCTAAAATGCCACTTAAAACGTCTTTAGTAACCATAACCATTTAAATATAATACAGCAGTTAATCTTAAAAAAAAACTGATTAATATATATAAAGTTCAGTTTCCTTCACCGTACAATTCATTTTGAATTTCTATCATCGTAGTCTGATCATCATCGTTCATCACCGAGGCGATCAACTTAACAATTCTCGGCTGCAAGTCCAACGCCTTATGCATCGGTAATTTTTTCAACATGGCCGCCACTTGTTCACCAA